GCCAGCGGGATGCGGTGGAGATTTCTGTTAGATTTGGCCGATCAGACCGTGTGTTATTATCTACCCTCGGAAATGGCTAACGTGGAGACTATTGGAAACATACCGTCAAAGTTATTTTTGTGCTTGGGCTTTCAGAAGTGCTGTCTGCAAATCTCCGTAAAGGAAATTCCTGGCATTGTATGGGGCTAATCAGAAATACTGTTTCACCACCAGGTTTCGCTGCTTATAGGGTGGCTTTCAGTCAGACCGTGTGTTATTATCTACCCTCGGAAATGGCTAACGTGGAGACTATTGGAAACATACCGTCAAAGTTATTTTTGTGCTTGGGCTTTCAGAAGTGCTGTCTGCAAATCTCCGTAAAGGAAATTCCTGGCATTGTATGGGGCTAATCAGAAATACTGTTTCACCACCAGGTTTCGCTGCTTATAGGGTGGCTTTCAGTCCCCCTTCCAGCACACCCTTACCCTGTTTGCCCGCGTAAAGAAATGTTGCTCAAGGTAGCAGGTGACTTAGTGGGTCTGCTGGACACATAGCATTAAAAAGCAGCTGGATGTGGTTTGTATTTAAAATTCAAAGCGGCTAGGTCCATTTTACGCAAAGCGGAATAAAAAATACCCTGTTGGAAGAAGCCAGTTTTTATTCCCCTTGCAGGCAGGGATCAGAAAGCTCTGCGCTCTCTAGAAAACTTCTTGGTCAGCAGATTTTGGAAGAGCCGGCCAGCCTCCTCGAGGTTCAGGGCGTCCAAAGTGTCCTCGTTTGGACCTCGAGGTCAGGGCGTCCTTGTCCCTCGCCGGGCAAGCAGAGGACGAGGAGTTTTCTAACTGCCGGTGACCTGTGCTCAGCTGTTAGGTGACTACGACAAGGTGAAGGCGGTGTCCGAAGGCTCCGACTGCCGGTGCAAATGCCTGGTCAGACCCCTGGGCCGCGGTGCCTGCCAAAGGATTAACGAAGGCGCTTTCAAAGCGGAGGACTTTTACACGGTGGAAACCATCACGTCAGGACCCAGCTGCAAGTGTGCGTGCGTGGCCCCCCCCTCGGCGCTCAATCCTTGCGAGGGGGACTTCAGGCTGAAGAAGCTGCGGGAGGCGGAGAGCAGCGACCTGAAGGTAGGAGATCAGCTTGAATTTGGGGCTCTTTTGAAAGGAGGAGATCTTCTGAAGCCTTTTCTTTCTGAAGCTGTTCTAAAACCCTTTTTTTCCTAAACTTTTATTCTAAAACTTCTCCCAGTTACTTTTATATCTGCGTGTTTTACGTAAAAACCAAACTCAGCTTAAGGGATTGATTCGAGCAGCTGCAGTGGATGATTCACTCGCTTCATCCCGTGCTGCCTGGGCTCCACCGTGGCTGCCTGCCTGCGCTGGAAGCCCAGCAGGGACTGGGCTGCTCCCTGCCTTTTGTCCAGCGCTGAGTGGCCCCGGGGGTTGGGACACGGCTCTGCTCCACTCAGCAACGGCCAGCTCTCGTTCCCATTGCAGAGAGGGGCTCCCGAGGACCCACGCAAAAAGCTCTTTTGGCTTCCGTGGGCTGAAAGCTGCTGATGCGTCAGGGTGAGGGTGTGTTACACAGCTGGCCGACGGCAGGATGGGGTTTGTTGTCTTAAATGCTGATACTTCTATACTATTTAGCATTTTGTCTCTTTAGTAATATGTACCTCTTTTCCAGGTGTGACAGTGTTTGTTCTAAGTACTCGTGTCTTTTACTGGATGCTTGCTTTTGCTGGTCTAGCAGCTGGCATCAGACCTTGCTGAGATTTCTGGTTTGTTACCTGGGCAGGGCAGCAGAAATCCTCCCCAAGGGGCCACTGGCTTGGTCCAGCCCTGGGGAGTCCCCAGAGTAGAAGGCAGGTGATGTGCAGGGTGCTGTGGGGCAGCCTGCCGCTGGGGCCACCACGATGGGCTTGTTCTAATTAATTTGGAGCTCGAGGATGTGTTTCATCTTGTCCAACTGCAGACAGTTAGCAGCTTCTTGTCCAGGCTCCCTGGCAGCTAGGGAAGATAAACAGGCACAGGCAGACAATCCGTCATTTCAGGGAAGAGGAGTCCCAGTCTGGAGTTGTTTGGTGGTCCCTGGCCTGCAGGATGTCCCACTTGGCCTTAGATGAGGAGCTGCGAGCTCTCTGTGGCTAGGGGAGGAGACACCCGCCAGGGTGACAGAGCCCCCCCCTCAAGTCCCTCACCCGGAGGCCGGCAGAGCTCCTCCACCAGCAGCTCACACCTCTCTCCACATCCTCCCCGGAGCCGGTCAGCCCGCAGGAGGAGCGGAGCGGTGTGGCTGGCTGTAAATTGGCTCCGGCTGCCTCTTCCCACCGGGGAGCTGCTCACAGCCAGCTGTGGTGTGAAAGCTTGTCCTCTAGGAACTGGCCCAGGCTCCCCCGCTCATTTCGCAAGGATCTGCGGCCAAACGATTTCACAAGGTTTATCCAAATATACACACGTGGGGTTTTTCTTTGCTGCAAAAGTCAGACCCCAGGAGCTGTGAAAACAGGCTTGCTTTCTCGCAGAGCACGGAGTCCCTCCTGGGGTCAGGCTCGCTGGGAACAGCCACCTCTAGCAGGAGAAGCCTGGAGGCAGGAGAGGACACAGCTCCAGCTCTTCTGTGACTCACGAGGAGCAGCTCCCACGCTCATCAGTGGGGGGGGCCTGGAGGGACCCGGGTGGCCACCTCATTGCTCCTAACAGCCCCAGGGGTTTTACTCTCCTTGCTGGTCTGAAGAGCATTGTTCTTGCCCGATCCAGCAGCGGGAAGCGTGTAGAGTCGTGCTCTGCTCTGTGTCTGCTGTGTTTTACCAGGCTTTATGCTGCTCTGACTCAAAAGCCCTGGATACTCCACATGTGGGAGAGCCGTGGGAAATTCCCCAAAATGAGAGCCCGTGGAAGAGCCCCAGGGGTTTTACTCTCCTTGCTGGTCTGAAGAGCATTGTTCTTGCCCGATCCAGCAGCGGGAAGCGTGTAGAGTCGTGCTCTGCTCTGTGTCTGCTGTGTTTTACCAGGCTTTATGCTGCTCTGACTCAAAAGCCCTGGATACTCCACATGTGGGAGAGCCGTGGGAAATTCCCCAAAATGAGAGCCCGTGGAAGAGCTGGGAAGGCATGGACCATCAGACAGTGAGAGCCAAAGTCTGCGGTGGGTGAACCGAAGGAAACAGAGCGAGTTGGCGTGTGCATCAGTGTGGTCTTTTGGAGAGGGTCAACTCGGTGCTGGCGGGGGGTAGCTGATCCTAAGATCGAATCACAGCGTGCTGCTCCTCTGCTTGTAGGCGCAGCATGCAGTTTGGGGGCTCGGGTGCAGAGTCTGTGCAAGGAAGATTTGGAAGGTGGTTAATGAAGTATGCAACCTTTGTGCGTTGATGGAAATCATCCAGCCTGGAGGGAAAGCGCATGTCTGTAGCGGCTGTCTGGCAGTTTGTGTGCATTGTATTGGTCCTCTCTGTCCAGTTCTCAGTGGAAAGTGGATGCATAGCCATAAAACAGTCCTTGTCTCTTCACACTGCCATTTTATCTGGCCCAAAAATCTTTCCTTTGCTGTCAGCTCCGCAGGGAGACTGCAGAGGCTGGGGTGGAAACTCAGAGTGCTGCCAGCAGTGTTGCCTGTACTTCTCCCGTGTTTGTGGAGCTCTGTCAACCAGTTTGTAGCTGCTGGGAGAAATTGTCACTGCCTTGTGCTAATTCCCATGCATTGAAAATAGTTCTCAGCCGTCGGGGCTGTAAGGTCTGCAATGACACGTGGGGACACGTGGGGACACGTGGGGCTGGAGGGAGCAGGCGCGTGCAGGAGCCGAGGCAGGGGATGGCCTGGGAGCCCTTCTCGCCAGCCCGTGCCTCGCTCAGCGCTGCGCTCTGCGGAGCGAGCACCAGGGACTGCACAAAATGCAGAACGAGGGTATTGCTGTCTGCATCCCCAGGATCGGTGAGCCGGGACTGGTGCTGGGCAGGACGCGGGAACGCAGCCCTTCCTGCCGTGGGAAGGGGCGAGTTAAATACAGCGTGTCCCTGAAACGAGTGGTTGAAGGAGAAGGCAGCATCCCTCTGATAAAGTTGTTCTCCAGGGAAGCAAACTGTTACCGGGCTGGCACTGAATTCCAGTTGCTTCACTCTTGCTTTTGTGAACATTTTTAAACTTTTTAACAAGTTTCTTCTTGTTCCAGGAAAAAACCCACGGGATGGCACGAACTCAGAGTCTGATCTCAAGCTCACTTTTATTTGAGCTGCCGTTTGCTTGTTGCCTCTTTTGTTGCCAGTCACGTCACCGGTGGGGTAGCTAAGCCCGTGGGCTTGCGAGAGAGCCTGCCTAGAGCTGGCAAGGAGGGCAGCGCTCCTCCTTGCTCTGCTTACTAATCCCCAGCACCCAGACTGTTCCTGAAGCCCTGCAGAGGTGGTCTGTGTTGCCGTGCACGCTGCGCTCTGAGCGCGGCAGCAATGCGGCAGGGCTGCGTGAGGGAAAACGTGCGTTTTAATAAACTTCTCGTGCTCAGATGCGCGCGTCGCCCTTGACTTTTTGGCTGTAGAAACCACGCGGGGTACTTTACAGCAGGCGCCTCTGGCTGACGGTGTGCTCCCTTTGCCTTGCAGCTGTCCTCCATCGTCGAGATGCTGGAAAGCGCCTTTTACGGCTTAGACCTTCTGAAGCTGCACTCGGTCACGACCAAGCTGGTGGGTCGGGTGGAAAAGCTTGAGGAGGTAAGATAAGTTCTGCTTTCCTTCGAGGTTGTTGCCTTCAGTGGGACTTGCCTCAAACCAGATACTTGATACCTTTGGTGCATTCAGAACCTCGTTCCTTTTGGAAGAAATGTTAATTTAACTATTATTTGGCTGAAACTGAACTAGATCAGACTAGACTCTCCGCCGCCCCTTTGCAGGCAGTGCCCAGAGTGTCACCACCCCATCAGCCTCCTCTGACCTTCTCCAGTTTCCCCCATCCCTGGTGGCCCAAACTGGGTGCGGGATCCCAGCTGTGGCCTCACCAGAGCCAGCATCTCCTCAGGGTCAGAAGTTTTTCCTCTTCTCAATTTTATGTCTGTGCTGGCATGATGGTTGCTGTCAACTGGGTGCTCTTGTGGCATTTGATGTGGGGGTGAGCAGTTCAGGGCCGGTGCCGGGGTATGCTCACCAGGACTGCTGGTAGCCAAGGAGGTCAGATTCCTTGAGGACCAAGTTACATCTTGGCCTGAGTTTAAAAAGAGCTGAACCCTCAGCACTGCTAAAAAGATAGATAAAGTACCTTTCATTTTTTTTTAGAGCAGACTTCAAGTAAAATAATTCTCACTTCCATATGGTTTAATATTTCTTTGGCTAGCACAACGTAGGGTTTGCAGTATGTTAAGCTGCGCTCAGCTATGCAGCAACAGGTTGCCAGATTAAATACTGGAGTTTTCTCCCGTGGTCCGTATCTGGGACAGTAATTCCACATTCTTGTCAGAGTGGAGCAGTCCTGTTCGTCTGCAGCCAGGAGCCAAGAGGTGATGATTTATAAAGCCAAAATTCCACTTGCAATGTGTTTTGGGAAGGCACGGCGTGCTCCGTCCCGGGGTCAGGAAGGAGACAGCCGAGAGGAGCGTGCTTGCCGGGGGGGCTCTGGGTTTCCAAGCACGGTGATTGACCCAAAAGGGGGAAAAGAGGGTTCGAGGCTTAAAAATAACAAAGCGCCAATGTTTCTATTTGCAATCCCACCCTCTTCCTGTGGTTTAGCGTATTCTCCAGTTGTTGCTTGGGTTCGCCGACGGGCCTTTGCTAATTAAGGGAGAGGAGCGAGGGAAGCGGGAGCTGTGCCGCCGGCCCCGTGCCGCGCGTCCCCGCTGGGGACCTTCACCGCTGCGGTGCTGGTAGCCACAGGTCTGGTGGTGGCGAGCCCTGTCCCACGGCACGGTGAGCTGGGCTCGCCCAGAGCAGGGGATGCTGCGGTGAACGCGAAGGGCCCCAGCAGGACAGAGCGATGGTCTATTGCTGTTTAACATCCCCAGTTAGCTGGGTTAGGGGTGATGGAGGGGACAGCCCTTTTTTGGTATCGGTTATGGATCTGGGGTCCATGAATTTGTCTCACCTTGAAACTAGTTGACTGAAAACGGTGCTGTTAGACATTGTCACCTTTAAACGGGCCAGACCAGAGCGACACAGCCCGTCAGGTCAGTGAGTGGGGAGCGCACGTTCCTCAAAGACCTTGGTGGAATCAGAGGCTAAGGTAAGTGTTAGGAGTTTTGGGTATTGACGAATGACACAAGCGATTACTTCGTGTGTGGGTACCACTGCGCTCTTTGGCCTCGCCTACCAGCCGGTTCCTGCGCAGGGGCTCAGCAGGAGTGCTGCTGGTGGCACTTGTCTGGCTGGGCACCTCGGGGTGACCTCGCAGCGTGGCTGCTCTGCTCGCAGCCCGTCGCAGTGAGGCGCGCTGGCAGAAAGCTCCGTCTGGCTCAGGTAGTTTGGTGAGAGATGGAGCAGTGAAGGTGCAGGAGGGGGGAGTTCGCAGATTTGGGTCTTTAATTTTGCAGAAGTGGGGCTGCAGGATCATATAACAAGCAGCTGAAGCTGCCTGCGAGCACTCGAATGGGATGGAGAAGGACAGGAGAGGTCTGGGTTAGATGGAGATTCCCCAGTGCCGCTGGGGCAGGGCAGAGCTGGCGCAGGCAGCGCAGGCAGCGCAGGCAGCGCAGGCAGCAGGTGTGAAACGCCTCCTGCTGCTGGCTTAGCACCTAAATTCCTAAGGGGAGGAGGAGAAGGATCACAATGCTCTGCATCGGCCGCGGGATCTGATACAACGAACAGCTGAGATGCTGAACAAGAGCCTGGCATGGCTTCAAAGCATCGGCCTCCCAGGCGGGGGTGCTTTTGGAAAAAAAAAAAGCAGCTGAGCGGCCTCAAGCAGCATCGCGGGCCAGGCTTTGGTAGTGCCTCCCCAGTCGAGGGGAGGCAGATTTTATCCCTAAGGGGGTCATAAGCCAAACATTACACAGAATAAATGATAAGGGCACAAGGCTGTCGGAATCAGCCATCCTCCCAAAAGCAGGAGAGCGTCAAAGTTGCTTCTGCTCCTGTGCTGCTCCTAGGAGAGCATCATGAGATCCCCCGTTCCTTTTCTTACTACAGAAAAATACTGGCTGAAGAGTTCCCGCGCTATTCCACTCAGCATCAAAATTGCATGATAAAGCTGTGACTCAAAATTCCCAGGTGATGACTGGGAACTCGGATACCCCTGAAGGGGTTGGGGGTTAACTGAGCTCGGGATGGTATTTTTGCAGAGGTGACAAGGCGTTGCGAGTTGTTTCCAGTATAACGAGGTATTTTCCAGAAATGGTGTCACTCAAGGGAATGAACCCCCAAATACTTGGTCCGCAGAGGTAGCACCTTCTCTAGTGAGGCAACTTCTCTGCTTTGTCTTCAGCTCGCAGCTGTTGCATCAGCTGGTGATTTTGAGGTCACAGATGGAGGTCATGGTGGGTTTTAGGAGAAATTAATGGCAGGACAGATTGAAAATGAGGGATCAGGGGGAACCGCCCCCAGTCTCTGTGCAAAAATGCTTTGATTGATGTGCCATCTATTCAAAGCAGTTGTCGCTTAAGATGTAAAAGACTGAGAAGCAATGAGCAGAGGCTCTAACAACCCCTCAGTGACAAGGTGTTGCTACGGTTGGGAGACCGAGAAGGGCAAAGGGGTTTGCCTGCCCCGGGGTGCCCGACCAGCCGCAGCCAGCCCCAGCTCCCTCCTGGTCTGGGACAGCTCTCTGAGGGTCCTTGTCTCTCTTCCTCTCCCCAAATTCTCCCTCTCTTCTGTGGGATCGGAGGGTGGTGGGGAGGAGCAGCCCCTGAGTGCGGGCACCGCGTGGCCGGGCAGTGGGGCAGGACCAGGAGAAGAGCCCGGTGCTGTGACCCAAAGTGCTGCTGGGTGCTGTTGTGTCTGGAGCTCACAGGCGGCTGGGAAAGCTCGTGCTTCTTTTGTTCCGAACCAGACAAGTGGGATGTTGACCTCGAGAGCTTGCCTGGGGGGGGTCAGGCAGGCAGTGGCGAGCCAGGATGGGACTCTGCTAGGAAAGTGGGACTAATAAATGGGAGATGAACTCACTAGAACAGGCAAAGGATGCGAGGCTGGGACTAAAGATGTTTTAGCTTGTCTGCTCTTCCTTTTACGAGCTGGTGAGTGTGGCTGAAGGTGGGTGTTGAAGAACCTCAAGGCCACTCTCCTGCTCCATGGGCCCCCGTGGCAAGGAGCGGATCTGGGATGTGCACACCAGGGATGGGGTTTCTGGATGGCACTGTGGTCAGGGGCACCTTCTCAGCACTTGAAATGCACAGCTCCACGGAGAAGCCCAGCTGAGAGCCCAGGATGGGAGCACGGAGCTCGCTGTCTCTGTGGCTGGGGGGCTGCAGAGCACCTCTTGTCTTTACATGGGGTCTTCTCTCTTGATTTTTCTAGGGCATGTCCAGAAAGTTCACGCAGGAAGGCCATCAGGCAGGAGCCAGCGTGGAGGAGGCTCCGCAGGATCCCCACCGCAGGGACAGGGAGAACTGCTCCAGTCTCATCACCAACAGCCTCGCCGACATCGAGAGCTCACTGCAGCGGGACGCCGAGGCTGCCTACATGCACACAGAGGTATGACCACCCCAGCGAGTTGCACGGCTC